ACCATGGCCTGTATCAGGCGCACCTTAGTCTCCAGAGAGACACTGTTGCTCCTGAGCACTTTAGAGAGGTCCCTAACAGCAGACTTTCCCATCGCGATACGCTTTTATTTTAAAAACATAAAATTCCTAACTCAAGTACAATTCTAACCTATACTACCTGGACCACAAAAACCCCTTTGAAAACAAGGGAAAGTGATTCCTTATCCTGCGTGTAAAGATAAGAATTAATCAAATTTATGTTTCTCCTAACCTATTGCCTTCCCTTACTGCACAAAATTCCTTATTTCTGGCTTAAAATCACAAATGATACAAAAGCAATTTCAGCCCACCTCACCTTTTCCCACCCTAAGGAGTCTTTACTTTTCAATAGAAAAGTCAGCCCTTGGCTGGTAGCAATCAAAGTTAAATCTACCTTAAATTGATCACCAGCCTAAAAGAATAAATTCTGATAGCACTGCTTTCACTGCAATGCTATCAAAGCCTATAATTTTCAAGTATCTTTACTACTCACTCCCCAACAAATCAATGTGAAACTTCTCCTCTATGTTGTCATATTATTGGGATAGGTCAGCTGTGGAGATGAAAAAACCCCGTAACTCTGCATTTCTAACGCCTTTCACTCCAGAAAGAAATGGACTATTTAATTATGTAATTTTTCAGTAAACTGTTGATGAGCATAACTGCAGGGTTCACTATCTTGAGAAAAATGCATTCCCTATGCAGCAAAAAAAACCAAAACAAAACAAAAAAACACAAAAAAAAACCCGTCTGGTACAGCTGATATAATAGCAGGAAGAGATGAAATTACAACAGGAGCAAGTGATCCCAAGAGTGGCAACGGAGAAGACAGAAAGGTAGGAAACAGTGAACAAAGGAAAATTGTTCATTCATGTTTAGAAAAGCTTTGTTATTGTTTTTAGTTGTCTTTAAGTCTACTGCTCCTATTTTTGCGACTATGACCTTTAAAAGCGATCTCCAGGCCTATTTTCCAGGGCATGTCTGGATGCCTTTTCAATTAGCAGCAATTTTTTTTTTTTACAAACACTTCTTTATTGCAGACATTTAGGCACAGGTACATGGAAGAAGCTGTATTGCAGGTTTTATACAGGGTGGTTTAAGAGGCAGCAAGCATCTACCTCTCCCCAACCCCTACCTCCCAAATACAAAGCAGCCTGGAAACCAGTCCTAATGAAACCTCCTGAGTTTGCAATCTTCTCAGAGATCCCTCCAGCCTGTAGCCAGGCAATCTGTGGGGTCTGAGGCAGGCTTTGTCCTCTATCCACAGTTAGAGGGTGGTGGGGGTGGTGTTTACAGGTCAGGCTTAGCTGGGGTACTCTCATCAAACCTAACACTAGCTGGGGCAGCAGCCCACATCCTGAGGTTAGTCACCATTGAACACCAAGTTTACACTACCCAGGGGTCTCAAAGCTGAGGCACTAGATTGAGCAAGACCTCTACTCTCAAAACCGAGGTGCAGAGAAAGTCCCAACAGCTTGAAGGCTGTCAAAGTATGTGCAGCAAGGGAAGGAACAGAAAAGGAGCCCAGAAAACATCTTGCAGAGGTTTGAGGGATGGCAACTCTGGGGCATACAACCCTTCTTCCACAGTTCCAAATCTAGACTCCAACTCAGTTGGACCTAGTTCTATTGGAGTCTGGTTATTCTCACCATCCATCCACTTTTGAGGCAACGACACAAAGTAGTGGCACAGAATCTGAGTTGCCCTCTGCTTCGCTTAGGGCTTGTGGGGCACTGAGGATATAGCAGCAATTTTTTAACCATACCCACCACTCAGTGAATAGAATGCATTTAAAGATATACATATACTGACATTCATAATTCCCTGTCCTTAAAGTGTGCGCCCCTAACAGACTTGACTCATACTCTGAAAACAACTCTCAACAGACAACTACAAAGCATATATCTAAATCAAAATTCATGCAAGTATAAATTAATTTTAAGTTTTTTGTTGTTTTGCTGTGTACCACAGAGTCAGACCGACCTAGAGCAGACCCACTGGCGGGTTTTCAGAAGCAAGTTAACTGCACAGGAGGAGATTGCTCATCCTTCTCCCTTGGAGCAGCTGGTGGCCTTGAACCGCATGCCATCAAGTTAGCAGTGCAGCGTCTTGCCACAAGGCCAGAAGAGCTCCGAAATTACAACTTACGTAAAGCTTTATTATCAATGATGCAGAAGCCCTGGTGGCACAGTGTGTAACAAGTCAAGCTCCCAATCAAAAGATCAGTGGTTCAAATCAACCAGTCACTCCTCAGGAGACAGACAGGTATTCTCAACAAGACTTACAGAATCAGAAACCCAATAGAGGAGGTAGATGAGTCAGAACCAACTTGACAGTGGTTGAGGAAAAAAAATTTTATTATCTACCTTTTACAGGACATAATGTAGCAAGTTTATCAGGTCCTTACATATTCAGAGAAATCCTAAAAAGTAAGTGGCATTCTCTCTCCCACTTTCACAAACGTGAAAATTAAGGAGAATAGTTTAGCATAAGTTATTTGGTTAACAAATCTTACTATTTTATATAAAGTCAGTCTGGCTCTGAAGATTTCCCTTTCCCTTTAACATTTCTGTATCTTACTAGTATATATTTACATCACCAATACCATTAGTGATTATATTCTAGTACATAAGGAGCATATTCTAATCAGGATGTCACTTTCTTCCTACTACAAATCTTAAAGCTGTTATAATCAGCTAAGTCTACAATTCCAGAGCCACTCAGCTTATCATATCCCATGAACCTAAATTAGAGCACTGTACCCTGTTACCAGGGATCTAAGAGTTGCAATGAAATTACCTTTCCAAAATACTTTAAAGCACTTCCAATGATGTCAAAGAAAAGCCAAAATTTCTGACTATGGCACTGGCTCATGCTGCGAGATACACTGGGTCATTCCTCAACTGACCAAGAATTCTTCAAACTATGTATAAAAAAAGCAGCGACTGTTGGGTTTTGTTTCTTTTCTTAAGCCATTTCTTTTTTATTTTATTTTATTATTTTGTGTGTGTATCGTCAAATCGGATCTGACTGGTACAGAGAGAAACTGTCCTTCCTTCTCCAGCAGAGCATCTGGTGGATTCGAACTGCATATCTCTGGGACTCCAGTGCAGCTTCTAGGCAACCAAGCTCCCCTGTTAATTTTTTTTAAAAAGAGATCCACCCTCAATCACTCCTAGAAAAAAAAAAAGAGCTTTAGCGGGACAGTACATTATGTATTGGGCTGATAATTGAAAAATCAGTGGTGTTTGCAGCCATCTCAAAGAAAGATGAGGCAGTCTGGTCCCATTAAGATTCAGACTCAGAAACCCAATGGAAGGGCATCACAAACCGGAATCCACTTGACTTGGTTTATGTCCTGAAAAAGCTCTAACTCTAGTCAAAGCACTCAGCTGTTAACCAAACTACTGATGATTCAAACCTTCCCTCTACCATAAAACGGCTAAACTGATTGGTAGCAACAGGTTTATGTCCCGAAAAGCTGGAACTCAGAGGTGAATTGGAATCACACGTAACTAAAAGCATTATTTATCACCCTCCTACTTTTTAGTCACATATAAGTGCCGTTATAACTTGCTGTCAAGTGTGAATCGACTCATGGCTGATCTAATCCTCCAGTGGATTTTCACCAGCTATAAATCACATGCAAAGAGATTGTTGATCTTTCTGCCGTGGAGCAACTGGTGGATTCTAACCTCTGAGTTTGGGTTGACAGTGCAACATCACTAGGCCACCAGTGCTCCCTCACATTCAAGTGTTGTTGTGTTTGTGTGCCATCAAAATGGAATTGACTAAGAGCTGACCCTCCAGTGGGTTTTCAGAGGCAGTAAATTGCATAGGAGATTGTTCATCATTCTCACATTGATCAACTGGCAGATTCGAAACAAGTGCCTCTGGGATTGCAGCACCGCTTCTTACCACAGGGCACCAGAGATCCCTCACATGCCACTATTAACCTCTAAAGTACAAGGATGACAATCAAAGACCTTAGTGGATAAGAAGAAACATCACATAAAAAAATGGGCTGAAAAGAGCTCAGCAAAACTAATTTCCAGTTTCTAACAATATAAGAAACATAATTCACACAAAGGCAAAGGAGAAGGAAAATTAACAAAAAATGAACAACTGGTATGGAAGTAGGGGACTGCCACATTCACTCCCAATGCTTTAATGCAGTCATTTGCAAATACACAGCAATAATTTTAGACAGAAAGTCAAGATGCTCAAAACCAATTAAACTTGTAAAAGTAATCAGAGCTGAACAGAATCAAAACCAATACCTTCCGTCTCTGGGAAACTGTGGTAGGAAATTTATGAACACAGTGGTCAGTCAGCACTTGAGAATCAGGGCAGGGTATTGAACCAGGAGTTAAAAACGTCTCAACGAGTCCTCACCTTTCTTCCTTTATCACTGAAGTAAGGCCAGGCTGCTGAACTCTTCAGAAAATAGGTTTGTGGATTCACTGAAGGACTAAGAAAAGTTAAAGTTTAAATTGTAATGGTGCCTACGACATGCAATAAAAAACTATTCATGCATATATTTTAGCTTTCTGTTGTGGTGTTTTCTAACCTTCATATCTAACCAGAATAATTAATTCTGCTTTCTGAACAAAAATATTCACACACTGATACTGAAATTAAGAAGCCAGGCAAGTAAAGTCCCGGTTCCATTAAAACGTCAGTCATTTACAAGGAAAATTTTAATCTCTTCAGGTCTAAGCCATAACCGAAAAACCTTTCAAGAAGAAAGCACAGGACAGACGAGAAACCCCGGAAAGAACGTGCTAGCGCTACGGCTGCCGGTTTGTTTACAGACTCCAGCAACAATCACATGAGTAGGAAATTCAGGCCACCAGATACTTTCTAAGTAACAGGAAGCAAATGGGATCCTTCTCCGGTGTCCTGAAAGGTCTGGGGCTGGGGGAAGGTAAAGTGAGCGAATGACATTACAAAAGGTCCAAGCCCAGAGCCGACCACTGACGCCCGGTTTCCCGGACTCGGCCTCCGTACACGGTACAGAGCCCCAGACACGGCATGGGGGAGGGGGACCTGGGCGCCGCGGCCTAGAGGGGACACGCAGCGGAGCCGGGGCCCAAGTTTAAGCGGAAAAACGGGACACCTAAGTCGGACAGACGACGAAGCGATACCTCCCCATGGACTGCAGGGCTGGCTTTGGGGAAAACCCCAGGACTGACCAGAGGAAATGGACATCAAGACGCGTTCTGGCTGTGACTAGGGTCACGAGACGGGAAAGACCTGAGAACTCGGGGAAGAGATCTGGCCCTGGCTGCGAGGCTATGGGGCAGGGAAGGGGGGAGGGGACAGGCCGAGCCAGAACGAGACACGGACCAAGGAGGTCAAGGGAGGGTGGCTGGCTGGGGCAGTTACAAACAGGGGAGCCAGCGAAGGTCAGCTGCTTGCTTCCCGTCTCCACTCATCCTGTTGCCAGCAGCTGCTCCGACTTTTCCAGGCCCAGCCGCCCCGTCCAGTGCCGCCACCAACGCCGCCGCCATCTTACACTGGCTAGCAGCCGCCGCCGCCACAGCCTCCGCTCTCTGCGCCTGCGCCGGCGCTGCCACACTTTCCGGCCGCGTTTGCGACGAAGTGAAGAGGAGACTGAGGGAAGAGTGGTCGCGCGAGTCGGCTCCCAACCCTCGTCGGAGGACGCACAAGGGGCGGGGCCTAGAGCCAACGGAAAAACAGTCCGAGGGGCGCCTGCGCAGTAGCTGGGAGGCCAAGTTGTTTACTTTTTTTCTTCTTTTTTTTTTAAATTATTATTAAATTTTATTAGTTTTAATGAACATTTACAGATATTTTGGGTTTTCATTCATTCATTGATGCACTGCCATGTTGTTTACTTTAGAAGCTTACCTTCTCTGCTTATTCTTGGGAAAAATTCAAGTTAGGGGCTTCCCATTAATTCTAACTCCCCAACCACGAATGCCAAAAGTGCAAGTGTGGATTTTTACCAACTTCTGCAAACTGTTCAGACATGGAATCAAAAGGAAGTAGTAATTACTGGTGATTGGAACGCTCAAGTCAGAAACAAAGAGTAGCTGGAAAATACGGACTTGATAAGAACATATGACGGAATTTTTGCAACACCAGCAACTTATTTATTGCAAATATCTTTTGTCGACGACACAAATGGTGAACTTTCACAATAAACCACACTTCATAAACAAAACAATATAAAAGTTCTCACCAAAAACACCCACTAGTTCTCACAGATGGATCTATAAACATTATAAATGGGAAAAAAATATGGATACTCTCAAGGATTTCATTTTCCTTGGATCCATAGCCATCAACTATAGACACAGGAGAAATCAAGTGACCTCTTTTAAACATTAAAAAGTAATGTCACTTAGAGGACCAAGGTACTCCTGACCCAAGTCATGATCATTTTAACCACCTTATATGCATGTGGCGGCTGAACTATGAATAAAGAAGACCAAGAAATCAATGCCTTTTAATTAATGGTTTTAGCAAAGAATAGTGAATATACAATAATGTCAGAAGAAAAACAAATCTTCTAAGTTCAGCCAGAATGCACTTTATAAGAGATGATAAACATGTTCTTCAGACATGTTATCAGAGATTCTAGCCTCTAGAGAAGAGCATTATGCTTGGTAAAGGGTAAAGGGAAAGTCAGTGAAAAACATGAAGATCCTCAATGAGATGCACTGACACCGTGGCGGCATCTATGGGCTCAAACACGGTGACTGTGAAGATGGTATAGACCAAGTTTCATTCTACATCTAAATGAAGAAAAGATTGAAGTTGTTAATTATTTCATCTTGCTTAGATCCATAATCAACTAACTACCTTGGCATCAGCAGTCCAAAAAAAGTATATATATATATATATATATATATATATATATATATATATATACATATATATACTGCATTGGGTAAGTCTTCGGTCAAAGACCTCTCCAAGGTGTTAAGGAGCAATGATGTCAGTTTAAAGGCTAAGGTACATCTGATTGAAGCTAAGGTCTTTTCATTTACTTGCTACACTTCTGAAACCTGAACAATGACTAAGGATGACAGAAGACGAATTGATGCCTTTGAGTTGTGGTGTTGGAGAAGAGTACTGACTACCTCAATACAGAAAAAAACACTAACGGTTCGAATCCACCAGATGCTCTGCCGGAGAAGGAGGCGCAATATCCTCCTGTACCAGTCAGATCTGATTTGACGGTACACGCATACAAAATAAAAATAAAAAAATTAAAAAAGAAAAAAACACTAAACAAATATATCTTAGAGAAAATGAAAAAAGAATGCTCCTTGGAGGCAAGGATAGTAAAGCTTTGTTGCACATATTTTGGGCATGTTGTTAGTAGGGCAGCGACAGTTCTAGGAACAGATAACAAGCTTGTAAAGGTGGAAGGTAAGCAAAAAAGATAAAGACCCTCAAAGAGATGAATTGACATGACTGTATCAGTGAGCTCAAGTTTATCAGAGATGATGTGGAAGGCATAAGATAAGAGCAAGGTTCAAATCCCTTATTCATAGGATTGCTATGAATAGTTTGACTCAAGGACACTTAACATCATGAGTCAGAACTAAATGACAGCCAGTAACAACAGCAGACCACTTCCTGTTCCATTATTCCCATTTTTTGGTACTAAGGCTTGGAATTGATTCATTCTGGTTTGATCTTTTACTGATCCACTTCCTAAACACCATGCCTTGGGAAACTCTATGAACTTTGATAAATATCAATAGAGGGGTATCAGGCCTTTTGTTCATAGGATTGCTATGAGTCATAATCAACTCAAGGCAATTAACAACAACAAACCCCAAATCGGAATGAACAAAGGATCTTTTTAAAACTTAGATTCTATTTCAGGAAATCTGGGGTAGAAATGGAAATTCTCAATAGGGAACCAACTAAACAAACTGGTCTGAAGCTCTGTTTTGAATTTCAAAACTAGACATTTTTACCAGAGTACCCTTGAGAGGCAAGGATGGTGAATCATGGTCTCACATACTATGGGCATGTTGTCTTTCTCTGCAGACCAAGGAATCCCACCTGGAAGCCCCCTTAATAAAGTTTCTTTAGCTTCCTTTCTTTCTCTGGACCCTTCCTTGAATCATTGGCCTTACGTCCAGTTGTGAAGACCTAACAAAAACAACATCATTTAGGGAGCTCTGGTGGCCTGTTTTTGTTGATTGCCTTCGAGTCAAGTGCAATTCATAGCAACCCTATAAACAAAAGGCCTGAAGGCCCTCTACAACTATCAACATTTATTAAAGTTCATAGTTTCTGGAGGTATGTTGTTTAGGAAGTGGATGCCACTCCTGCTTCCAAAGTTGTCATAGAATGCTACTGGTTGAGTCGCCTGTGATGCATAATGACCCTATGCACAGCAGCTCTGAACCCTTCCCTGTCCTGAGCCAGTCTCACAAATTCTGACACACCAGTCCCCATTGCCCCAGTCACTATCAATCCATCACATCCAGAGTCTTCCTCTCCTGCACTGTCCATCCAACCTTCTGAGCACGATGTCTGGTCTATTCTGGTCCAAAGTATGTGAAGTGGAGCTTCAAAATCCTAGCCTCCAAGGAGAGACTAGGTTTCACTCTCTCCAAGAGAGACCGACTTGTTTTCTTGGAAATCTATGGTATGTTCAAGACTCTTCTCCAGCACCACAACCCAAAGGCATCTATTCTTCTTCTGTCATCCTTAGTCATTGTCCAACTGTCTGAAGCATAACAAGTAATTGAGAAGACCATGGCCTGGATTAGGCGCACCTTTGTATCTAGACTGACATCGTTGCTCTTCAGCACTCTGGAGAGGTCCATGACAGATTTTCCCAATGCAATTCATCTTTTGATTTCTTGACTGCTGATGTTAAGAGTGTTGATTGTGGATCCAAGCAAGCTGTAATTGCT